GTTGTTGTACTGATACTTAAGAAGTTCTGTAGGTACAAAGATGTGTGCTTAAGATATGTCAGTGTAGTTTCCTCCAAGCAATTCCACTTGGCTAAATAGAGATATTTTACTTAAGATACATTAGTGCAGTTTCCACCAAGCAATTCTACTTGGCTAAATAGAGATATTTTACTTAAGATACATTAGTGCAGTTTCCACCAAGCAATTCCACTTGGCTAAATTCCAATTTAGTTGCCAAACATTTTTCCACCAAGCTATACCACTTAGCATGTTTGAGTGCTAACCAAATTTAAATTCCGTTCAGTCGTTCTGAAACTGAGCCATTTGGGTTAAAACCAAAGTTAATTCCATTTGACAAACATCAAAGCTAATTCCGTTTGGTAAGAACCAAAGCTAATTCCGTTTGGTAAGAACCAAAGCTAATTCCGTTTGGTAAGAACCAAAACTAATTCCGTTTGATAAACATCAAAGCTAATTCTGTTTGGTAAAGACCAAAGCTAATTCCGTTTGGTAAGAACCAAAGCTAATTCCGTTTGATAAACATCAAAGCTAATTACAAGAATTGAATAAATCTGAGAGGAGTGGGAAAACATTTGCATTGGTCAACAAATAAGTGCCTTTACATCCTGATAAAGAAGTTAGGGAATGATTCTATTGGTAGTATTTCTTGAGGTTTGCTACGTTCCAGGGCCGAGGTATTGCTTTGCCATTCAAATCCTCTAGGTAGTAAGCTCCATTTCCAACTACGGCTGTGATTTTATAGGGACCTTCCCAGTTCGGCCCAAGTTTGCCCTCACCAGGCATCCGTTTGTACTTTCCTTAAAAACCAATTCTCCTGGTATAAATTGCCTTGGAAAAACTTTTTGGTTGAAACTTCTGATGAGCTGCTGCTGATATGCTTCAAGTCTGATTAGCACTGCCTCTCTTCGGCCCTCTGCCATATCCAGTGCTTGCGCGATAGCTTCCTCATTACTGGAGCTTTCAAATAATTCAGACCGAAGGGTTAGGAGACCTACTTCGAGTGGGATGATGGCCTCCATTCCATAGGTCAAAGAGTAAGGTGTTTCTCCTGTGGGGCGTCGTGCTGTAGTTCGTTAGGCCCATAATACGTGAGGTAACTCCTCAACCCATTTGCATTTGGCATGTTCAAGCCGGCTTTTCACTCCGTTGATGATGGTTTTGTTCGACGCTTCTGCCTGACCATTACGCTACGGGTACCCTGGAGAAGAGTTCCTATACTCGATTCTGAGGTTGGCACAAAATTTTTTGAAGATCTTACCATCGAACTGTGTTCCGTTGTTCGCAATCAGTACTCGCGGAATGCCGAAACGCACTACCACATTTCTCAAAACAAGCCGCTTTGTGTCTGCCTCCTTGATGCTTGCCAGTGCCTCAACTTCAACCCACTTGATGCAGTAGTCGGTTGCAGCAATGAAGAATCACCTGTTCCTAGTGCCTCGCGCCAGTGGTCCAACAATATCCTGGCCCAATTGTGCAAAGGGCCATGGGCTGGTGAGTGGAGTGAGAGTTTTGGCTGGCTGATGAATGAGTGGAGCAAACCTCTGACATTTGTCGCACCTTTGTACGTACTGCTGTGCATCTTGTTGCATTCGTGGCCACTAGTACCCGTGAGTTAGGGCTCGGTGTGCCAGTGACCTTCCGCCAACGTGCCATCTACAAATCCCATCGTGAATTTTGTAGAGAACATTCTCGACGAGATTTGGATGCACACATAGGAGGTAGGGGCCAAGGTAGAAACGTCTGTAAAGCTTCCCAGACAGTGAGATCCAGAATCGAGCTGATTTATGCCTGATCTTGTTGGCTTCCCTTCTGTCTTCGGGGAGTTTACCAGATTTCAGAAAGACCAATATTGGATCCATCCAGCTCGGCTCTAAGTTGTTGCAGAGGACTGGAGATGCAATACTTGGTTCTGGTACGAACTCAACCCAAACTCTTCTGGCATCCTTTGTATCCACTGATGAGCCTAGGCATGCCAGAGCATCTGGGTGGCTATTTTTGTCCCGACTGATTCGTTTCACTCGTATGGATTGAAATTTTCTGAGTAGGTCTCTGGCCTTGCCTGCGTACATAGCCATTCTTTCATCTCGAGTTTCATAGACCCCAGAAAGCTGGTTTACCACTAGTTGTGAGTCGCTGAAAACAAGAAGCTGTTCTGCACTAAAGTGTTCTTCACTACGCAAGCCAGCCAATAACGCTTCATACTCGGCCTCGTTGTTTGAAGCCTTCCAGCCTAGCCTGAGAGCCTGTTCCCAGATAAATCCTTCTGGAGAAATAAGAACTACTCCTGCCCCCGAGCCTCGGTTATTGGACGAACCATCGACATAGAGTTGCCAGATGTTTCCGATAAAGAGTTTCTATGCTTCCGAAGCGCTTGGTTTTCCTTGTTCGGTGGCACATGGCACCTGTGCCGAACTCAGATTCCCCGGTTCGGTACTCTGAGTGGGAGTAAATTTCGCGACAAAATCCGCCAAGACCTAAGCCTTGATTGTTGTCCTGGGTTGATACCGAATGTCAAACTCACCAAGTTCTACAGCCCACTTTGTTGTTCGGCCAGAGAAATCGGCTCAGCTGAATACAGATCTGAGGGGGAATTCAGTGATGACGTTAATGGTATGCCCCTGGAAGTGATGTTACAACTTTCTTGAGGCGATAAGCAGCGCGTAAGCTAACTTTTCCAGTGGTAGATACCGTGTCTCGGCATCTAGTAAAGTCTTGCTAACATAATATACTGATCTCTGTTCCTTGTCAACTTCTCGAATTAATACTGCGCTCACGGCGTGATCTGAGACTGCTAGATAGAGGTACAGCTCCTCTCCCGGTTCTGGAGTGGACAGTAGAGGGGGTGTACTGAGGTATCTTTTGAGACTCTGCAGTGCTTCGGTACATTCACTACTCCATTCAAATGCTGCCTTTTTCGTCAAGAGCTGGAAGAAGGGCTTCATCCGATCTGAGGATTTACTAATAAACTGATTTAGTGCAGCCGCCATTCCAGCTAGTTTCTGCAGTTCCTTAGACTTTGTTGGCACTTTGAGATCCTGTATTGCCCTGATTTGATCTGGATTCGCTTCAATTCCTCTGTGAGTGACCATGTATCCCAAGAACTTCCCTGTTCCTACCCCGAAGGCCCATTTCGAGGCATTGAGGCGAAGCTGGTGGTTTTTCAGGATGCTAAAAACTTCTCTCAAGTCTGTGAGGTGGTTTGTAGTGAACTTGCTTTTTACTACCATATCGTCTATATAGGCTTCTATGGTTTTCCCAAGTTGGTCTTTGAACATCCGAGTGATCATTCACTGGTAGGTAGCCCCGGCGTTCTTGAGGCCGAATGGCATTACTCTGTAGCAGTAAGTCCCTCTCAGAGTGATAAACGCTGTCTTTTCTTGATCCGAACTGAATAGTGGTATTTGATGATAACCGCTATAAGCGTCCAGAAAGCTCATGCGTTCATGCCCTGCTGTTGAGTCTACTAGTTGATCAATGCAAGGCAGCGGAAAACTATCTTTAGGGTAGGCTTTGTTCAAGCAAATGAAATCGACACAAACTCTCCATTTTCCGTTCTTCTTCCTGACTACAACTGTGTTAGACAGCCATTGCGGGTACTGAACTTCTCTGATTGCTCCCGAGGCCAAGAGTTTTTCGACTTCGGCAATTACTGCTTCGGTGTGCTCAACCGAGGATCTCCGACTTTTCTGTACGATGGGCCGAGCTGAAGGATTGATGTTGAGCTTGTGGCAAGCAAATTCTGGGTCCAACCCTGGAGTATCATATGCTGACCACGCGAATACCTCCATATTTTCCCTCAAAAATTCCAGTAGCTGAAGTTTCTCATCAGCGCCTAGCGAGGTACCGATAAGGAAGTACTTTTCCGGGTCGTCTTCTTCTATCAAGACTTTCTCCAAATCCTCTACCATCTTTTCCTCTGGAGTTCCCCCCACATCTTCCAAGACTGGCTGTCCGGCCACTTCTACCGTCTATACCCGATTGCAGAGCTACTTTGCCTTTAATGTTGCCATGAAGCAATGTTTGGACGCAACTTGATCCCCTGAGATCTACTCTACTCCGTGTTCCGTTGGGAAACGGATGAGCTAGTGATAGGTTGAAGGGACTGCTTCCATTCGATGAATCCACGAGCGGCCAAGTATGGCGTTATAAGGGAATGGTGTATTAATAACCAAGAACTCTATCTGGTGGGTTTTTGTCCCCGCTACGACTGGCAATACTATTCTGCCGAGCGGCCATTCTGGCTGTGAATTGAAACCGACCAACGGGGCTGCCGCTGGGGTGAGATGCTGCTCGGAGAGGCCGAGCTTTCTAAACAAATCATAATACAGTATGTCCGCTGCACTGCCATGATCTACTAGGACTCGTTTCACATCAAATCGTTTCCCAATCCCAACAATTATAATCAATGCATCAGTATGTGGGTGTTGTATGTCTTCTAAATCTTTGCTAGTAAATGAAATAGTGCACAGGGGGGATTTAGGTACGGTATGCACCTTTTTCGATGCCGGCTCCACTGACATGATTCGCTGAATTTGCGCAGCCTTAGCGATCTCTTCCTTCAGTGACTCCTCTGATTCCTGAGCCGCTGTCCCATGGATCACATTTATTATCAGCCAGGGTGGATGCTCAATATTTGCTTCTGGAAGTGGGTTCCCCAGCTCGGCCACTTCCTTATCATGATCAATGTATTCCCTTAGGTGCCCAGTTGCCACTAGGTCTTCCAAGTGTTGCTTCAGTGCCCTGCAGTTCTGAGTCATGTGTCCCCTATCTTGGTGGTAGGTGCACCTGAGCTTCTGATTACGCCGAGCTGGATCTCCCAACATTTTCGGCGGCCAAACAAAGAAGGGTTCTCTCTTGATCTTTTCTAGGATTCGATAGATTGGCTCTTTGAACACAGTCACAACGGCTTTGTGGGATTTGGACTTATCCACCTCATTCAATGCAATCCCTCGGTGTTCTCCTCGATCCGTTCTCTTCTTCTACCGGGTTGCTTGTTCTGCTGACACTACCTCGATGGGGATCTGATCGTCTTCGAGACGAGCATACTGCTCAATCCTAGCGCACAAGTCTTTCAAAGCTGTGGCCGGGTGCTTGGTAAGTGATTGTCTCAACTTACTTTCCGGGCACAGACCATGTTTGAAGGACATGACGGCCATCTGCTCGCTGCACACATTTTCTTCCAGATCGTTATACTCTTCCCAGTATCTCCTAGTGTAATTGTGCAGCGTTTCTTCTTGCTCCTTCCTGAGGCCGAACAGCGTATCCGGCTCTTTCGGGATCTTAGTATTGGAGACGAACCTAGCTAGGAACTCTTCGGAGAACTGCTTCCAGCCATGAATCGATCCAACGGGGAGTCGATCGAACCATCGGAGTCTAGTTTCTCCCAAGCTAGATGGGAAGACTGTGCACATCAGTGCCTCATCTCGGCTCCATAGGGACATCATCTGTCTAAAATGGCTGATATGTGTCAGAGGGTTCGATTTCCCATCGTACGAAGTGAACTTTGGTGAAGTGAACTTCTTTGGAGGTCTCATGGTCTCAATCTCAGGAGAGAATGGCGAAGAGATGAGCCTGTCCAGCGCTCAATGTTCTCTCTGGTGAACAGTACGGTCCAGATGATCTCGATGTTGCTCGTTCTGCCTATTGCCAATCAGCCAAGTGCGAAGGTCCTGAGGAGGGTATTCAGTTTGTTGACTATCCGTCTTCTGCCTCTTGGCCCTCCTCCGGCGTGACCCACGGGTGTGGCTACTCGCCGCTTCACTCTGTGTTGGGTAGGTTGGCTTCGTTGCCCGGAGTCATTCCTGGGAAATTTTTTCACTGGTAGTTCTCTAGACGAGCTCTTTTGTTGCGAACGAGAGGGCTCTGCTTCCGTCCTCTTTTCCGTCAAATCACCCAACACCTTCTTAAGTTGAGCTTTCAATTCCTGTATCTCCATTCCCATGGAATCTATAATTCGATCTCTATAATCCTTTTCCAGAAGGAAATTATGAGAAGAACCTCCGGCGAAGGGCAATCGATGCTCGACAGATTCGGGGGTTCGATTATTGTTTCCAGTTTGCTCCTCTAGAACTGTCGGGAGTGCCAAACCTTTGTCCTTCGTCTTCTCCGTCTGTGGAGTATGTGCTGAAGGCGGAACGTCCTCAATCCCCATTGCCGGAACTGAATGCAGAGCTCAGAGATAAAGTGATCCACGCTCACCGCACCAATTGTGCATACCGGATTCCGCACTAGATGAAAGTGGATCGGGGAAGGAATGTATGTTCAGTGAGATTAGAATAGTTCCCCTTAGTTTCTTTTTTGTCCGATCCCCTTCAATGTGAAGTTTATGAAATATATGTAGTATTCCTTACTTGCTTCTCAAGGTGGTTTCATGGAGTGTAGATGCTGCCAGGTGTCCTTTCAGCATTGCTCCAGGTGGGGGACCACTTGGTAGTTGTCATTGATTGCATATTCTCATTGTAGGCATGCTGATAACAAACCACATTCCTTTGGTTCAACAACTTCCGTGATTCTAGGTGTAGGGGACCAGCTGAGGTAGCAACCTGCACATGCTTGCACTCACAGCTCCCGCGTTTCCTTGAGAGGTTTCTCCAGCTCGGTACTCATGTACTTTAGTTTGGTACTAATGTGCCTCGGCTCGGCCTTTTCTAAGATCATTCATGGAGATGGGCTGGCCCATTATCTATTCGGCCCACAGATTCCGTTTCGCAACTCGGCCCAGACCAGCACTACGGCTAGGCTAGCCTTCCATTGCGAGTTGGGCCCAAGTGCTTGAGGACTTGGGTGGACCGTTGATCATGAAGTTGGGCTCAATTGGTTTGTCCATATACTCATTTGACCCACTTGGATTCGGACTTTGTCGGGTTGGGCCGGCCCAAGGCTTGGACCTGACCCATTTCACATTTAGCCCCTTCAGTAATGATTTGAAATTTTGTTGTAGTTGAGTAGATGCGTGTGAGAGAAAAAGATGATTAAGAAGAAGAGAAAAGAGAGAAAAAGTGATTGATTGATGTGTAGGAAAAAAAAATTAATTTTAAAATTTTTTTTTTCCAAAATCACTTAACCAAACAAAATTTTAAATTTTTTTTTCAAAATTTGTTTCTAAAAAACAAACCGAACAAGACCCGTAAGATTTTGGTGAAATTATTAACTTATTAAATTTGTCAGGATGTTAAATAAGTCATTAATTATAAAAAAAAAATATTATGAATTCACCTTTATAAATATACAATTTATTTTGAATATATTTATGTGATGAAAATTAAATTGATGAAGTATAAAGTTCATTAATAAAATAAATTTGAATTATTAATTTATTTTTTAAAATAAATTTTAAATTTATAAATCTAAATTTATAATATTGTTACTTAAGTGGGTGTTTGGGAACTTGTTATTTTAGTAAGCTATTTTAATTTTTGGCTATTTTAGTAGGTTAAATTTTTTGTGTTTGGAAAAATAGTTGAATTTTTTTATTGTTGGATGTGATGTTTGTGAGAGAAAAAGTAAAATGATTATGAATTTAATGTGATATTTTTTCTTATTAACTATTTTAACCTATTTTATTTTATTTTTTTTGAATTTTAACCCAAAAACCATTCCCAAACATCCCTAATTATTGTTTATTACTATTTATAAAAAGAAGGGGAAAGGGTGTGAATAGGGAAAAAAAAAAAAAAAAGTAGTAAAAAAAAATAGTGAAAGCGAGATGTACTTTATACAATTTATTGTGTTCATATTTATGCGAAACTTTTTTCAAAACATGATTTTCAAATCATTTTTTGGAAAAATAACTCAAAAAACTTAAACCAAACATGTAGAATATGAATCTAATTGAATATAATTTTTAGTGTTAAATAACAATGTTGTTATAATAATCTATCTATGTGAGAGTCTCCATTAAAATGTTTGTTTAAATTACAGCCACTTTTTTATTGAAAAAATAATTATAAATTAGTGAGAAATTTTATAAATAATTAATAGTTATAATTATAAATTATTTTATTGTGGTGTAATTACCTCTTCTTAATTTAGAAATGTCTAAATTCCCAACCTGATTTAGCCAAATTTGACTATAATAAAAATAAAAAATAAAAATCTATAAGAAATATTCTAGGTTTGCTCCTCTTTCTAATGTCTTTCTTCATATTATTACTTTAAATTCATATTAGGGATATTTTGAGAAAATATATTATTATAGGAGGTATACATATATATTATTCTTAGATTTTGTTGGAATAATTTTTGGAAGAAAAAATATGTAAAAATATTAAGAACATTAGTATCGTGAAATTGATTTGGAAAAATTATCTAGTATTGGTAATATTTGTTAAAAATCCAAAAACAAATTTAATTAATTATTTGGTTTGTATCTACATCATATTATGACTATATAATTTATGTTGAGAAAAATAATGTTGAAATATTATCTCACCTTTTGATTTCTTTTTTTTTTTTTTTTGGAATTTATTTTTGAAAAAAATAAATTGATATAGATGAATATTGTGTAATTGCTTAGTTGGGATTATGGAGTTGTTTTGAGATTAAAAACTCTAAAAGTGTTATATTTATGATATTTTATGATAGATGATATGTTGATAATTAAGTTGTGTTCATTTTTGTGAAAAGAAAAATCTAAAATGACGACTTTTGAACTCCCAACAATTTTAATTTATCTATACTATATATTGTAGTAAAGAAACATATGAAACAATACTCTTAAACTTATATATAAAAAAATTTATTTAAGAGAGACAAAATACAAAAAAATTAAATATAATTATCATATTTTTAATAAATAATATTATTTTATTCCGCGCATAGCACGGATGACAAGTTAGTAATAAATTATGTAGCTTAACAGTTTCATGAAAATGACTCTACAATCATGAAAATAATTATGAAATTCCTATATCGATTGAAATATTAAGTTATAATATTATTCCATTTTCTTTATAAAAAAAATTTATTTCACATTTTCTACATAAATAAAAATATATTAATGACTAATATTTTATTTTTTATCGTGCAAAATATTCATAGCACAGAAAACGAGACTCAACAACTCTTAATGTATAAAAATATATTACATATTGATATTAATACATTCTTACACTAATAGTATGCAAACAATATGCAATAGTAGGTTCAATAAATTTTCTATTATAAGATGAACTATTAAACAAAATTGTATAATTGTACAATTAATTTCATAGCTTTAATTGTAATACAGGTACGGATTATGAAAAAATTGAAGTGAAAAGTTGATAGAAAAAATTTCTATAATACTATATATTTAAAGGACCTACTTATTATTTATTGTTTAAGATAACATTGTCATCTCAACAATCTAACTATAAATTAATATTTATGTTTACAAAATTTCTCATTTAAATTATTCAATCAAGTATGAACAATAATTGTACTTTTTATATTTATTTTTTTCACTACAATTGTATAGCAATTGTATACTAATGACTAATTTCATCAAGTAAGATATTCACAACACAGAAAACGAGAACCAATAACTCGTGATGTATAAAAATATATTACATATTGATATTAATATATTCTTACACCAATATGGTATGCAAATAATATGTAATAGTGGGTTCAATGAATTTGTATTATGAGATTAATATTAAACAAAATTGTGTAACTGTACAATTAATTTCATACCTTCAATTGTACTACTAGTATGCATTATGAAAAATTAAAGTGAGAAGTTGAAAAATAAAAAATAAAAAAAAAACTGTGTAATACTACATATTTATTGTTTATTGTTTAAATTATTCAGTTGAGTATATATTTATTTCTTACTTAATTATATTTTAAATACAGATCAATTTACTCATGCAAGTCTTCATATTTTGTATACATATCACATATTATAGCGATCTTGGTTTTCCCTCCATTGGTTATTGTATTCCAGACTCGGTTCCGTAGATGTCTGTTGTTGTATATGTTTCTTTCTGTCCTTTAATTCCTTGTATTTGAGTTTTAGGACGTGTTGGGCAGGTTTGTAACAGGTTGGGTATATTTTGAAATAAATGGTTGCTGCCTAGATTTTGGTGTCTTTGCTCGAGCGAGGCTTTTGTCGCTCGAGCGAGCTCTGTGTTTTAGTTCCTTCGCTCGAGCCAGGGTTCCTTCGCTCGAGCGAGAGTTGAGTGGTGTGTCTGGTGGCTCGAGTGAGAAGTCTTGTGCTTGAGCTTGCGTCTGCGTCTAGTTTTGGACCTGAAGCTTGCATTTCTTCGCTCGAGCGAGCTTTCCTTTGCTCGAGCGAGCGAGGACTATATTTTGAGTTTCTTCGCTCATGCGTGCTTTCCTTCGCTCGAGCGTGCTTCTGGGTTACAGACCTGAAGCTTCGAATTGTTGGCTCGAGCGACGCTTTCTGCACTCGAGCGAGGTTTCTTTGTGTCTGGTCGCTCAAGCGACCATTCCTTCACTCGAGCGAGCCTCGAATATATCAGTTGGCAGCAGTGGGTTACACTTCACTTTTTCATCATCTTCTTTACTCAAACCCTAGTCTCGGCTGCTT